CCCCGGCGCGGCACATGATGCAAGCGGCCGCGGCGGCGGGCGGGGCTCCTCGGGCACCTGCCGAGCCATTGGCCGGGTCCCATGACGCGCCTGCCCCCGCCCCGCCCGGGGGCGGAGGAACCGGCCGGGTCCCCCCAGCCGGAGCCGGGGGAGCGGCCCGCGAGAGGCCGAGGGCGCCCGGGCGGATCAGGGCTTCGCAGCGCGCAGGGCTCCCCGGCCCGACGGGCGCGCAGCGGCAGCGCCCGCCCTGCCCTGCCCGGAGCGGCTGGTGCCCGGGCGGGGGGATGCCGTTCCCGGGCGGGCTCTGGTGGCTGGTGTGTTGCAGACAGGGCTTCACCCTGCTCCGGCGGGACTATGGCGAGCCGGACAAGGAGCCGGACGGGGAGGCCGAGGAGGAATCGTCCTTCGAGCTGCGGAGCAAAGGGGCCCAGGTGGGTGCCCAGCGCGCTGCGCCCCCGGGGCTGGACGCGGCTGCTCCGGGCGCTTTCCGGGGCCAGGCCCGGTTCCCCGGCCCCGCGGGGTGCGCTCCTGCGGCCCCGCACGCTGGGGCCAGGACGTGGGAAGGTCCCGGGGCCAGGCCCCTTCCCGCTGGCCCCGCCGTCCGTGCGCGCTGCTGGCTCCCTCCCTAGGGACGTGTCTCGGGCCGGGGCGCGGCGGGAAGTCCCGGGATAGGTCCCGAGCTGCGCTCAGCCCCGGAGAGGGGCCCGGCCAGCCGCAGCGCACGGCTCTGCCCGAGGCCCCCTGCACAGCAGGGCTTGGCCCCAGAGGGGGCTGAGCGCGCGGGGCCTGGGGTCCCTGTGCCCTGCAGGGAGATGCAGCCCCGGGTCCCTGCCGTGTGCGGGGACCCCCAGCCCCGGCTCATGGAATCCAGGCACCCCCCGTCCATGGAGCCCGGGGGCAGGTTGAGCGGCGCCCTCAGCCTGACAGCTCTTTGGGGAAGGGGTGGCACAGACGCTGGGGCACCCCACTCTCAGCACCCCTAAGGCAGGGAGCTGGCATCAAACTGTATATCAGGAGAGTTGGGCATCCGTTGGGTCCTAGCTTCCTTGGGTGCCTGCCACCCCGATAGCGTGGCTCGTGCCAGCCCTGTCGAGGGACCCTGCTGGGGGTGCATTGGGGCTCAGGGATCTCCCCAAGGCTCTGTTATGCCCGTCCCATCAGGGGTGGCCTAGGAAGGGTCATGGGCCCTTCTGGCAGGTGGAGCTGAACTTACAGTCCCTTCATCCTGGCTGCAGGGACCCTTCTCCAGTCGCAGGGAAAAGCTGGAGTTGTCCCATCGCCCTGGGTTGGGCCTGCAGCGCTGTGTGGCAGTGCCCGCGGGCAGGTCGGTCCGGCTCTGAGCTCACTGCTGGGAGTTTGATTTGCCCCCAGCCCTTTCCTATCAGCCTGCACTGGAGTCCCCTCTTCACACCTTCCCAGGCAGGCAGCGCCATCCCCACCTGGCTCCGCGGAGCCAACGTGCTGAGGCATGCACCCCTGAGCTGGCTGCAGGCTGTCAGCAAATGTTGCTGAACTTCTCCCGGCGGTTTGAGGGGCTGGCTGGGCCCTGGGGGCCCTGGCTCGATTTCCTGGCTCAGCCCCAGCTCCCAGTGCCACCCTGGATCCGTAGCTCCTGGCCGGATTTCCACAGGCTCAGCGCCAGCAGATGGGGCCGGGTTTACAGCCTCCTGAAAACTGTGCCCGTCTTTCTGGGCCTTGGTTCCTGTGCCTGCCTTGTTCCCGCAGACAGCTCTTTGGGGGCAGGGCCTGTGTCTCGCTGTGTCTGTGCAGAACTTGGCTCTGACCTGGGGGTGCTGGTAGCGTGACTGGATCCTGCCCCTCCCTCCCGTCTCAGGGGGGTCTGTGCAGAGCCTGGCATGACAAGGCCGGGGTTTGTCTGGGGCCTGCTGTTGCTCACTGGCCGTTTCCCTTCCAAGGGCCTAAAAGGGGAGAAGTCCCAGGCCTGTTTCCTTTGGGGAGGGACCTCATCCCAGGCTTTCTGGAAGTCAATGTCTGCTGTCCACTGGTGCGCCCTTGGCCGTGAGTTAGCCAACCCCCTTGGGGAATTCTCACAAACTGCAGAGATAAAGAGGCTGTGTGCAGGGCGGTTGTTATGCCCACCCAAGACCACGCTGCCCTCCTGGGATGGTGTGTGCAGAAGGGGCACGGGATCCTGTCTAACTTGCTCTCGCTCTTGTGGTTGGTGCACAGGGTGTGTGTGTGCGTCCGTCCCGGGACCTGGCCCAGCCCAGCAAGGTGATCTCAGCGGAGACGCGTGTGGTGCTGCCGATGGGGAGGGGAGCCCTGTGCTGCCACCGCTCGTCTGGGGCTCCCCAGAGACCTGGCTCATCCTGGGCCTTAAATAGAGGATTCTGGGCTGTCGAAAGGGGCCAGAATCCTTCACGTAACCCCAGAGCAAACAGTGTCTCCCCCTGCTAGCTGCCAGCGCCCCAATCCACACCAGGCAGCTGCCCCCAGCCAGGGGAGGGGGCAATGGAGGGAACTGGGGCCAGCCCTGGAGGACAGAGAGGTCTGGGTTCTGTGTTCCAGCCCTGCGCTGGGCCAAGGCCCCCCGACTGCTGCTCACCGGCTAAGGAGCCTGGGGTCTGTTCTGGGTGCAGGGGGAGTAGGAGCTGCTGCTTCCCTCCTGTAAGGACCCAGGTGATCCTGCCCCTTTAATGCCACTTGGTGCTGTAATTCAGAGCATGTGAGAGCTGCCGCGGGGGCCCCGGTGCCAGGCCCCTGGGGGCCAAACGCGTGAACTAGGAGCTAATCCTGGATCCAGCGATGCTGGGGAGTGAGCGGCCCCACGTCACCCGTCTGATCACCCCAGGCGGTCTCCTCTCAGCGCACAGGCTCAGATCTCTGGAGTTCTATCTGCCCAACGGAGGAAGGGGGGGTGGAGGGGAAGGAGGGGTGTCCCTGCTGCCCCAGGGCTGCTGCTGGGAGGTGGTGGATGGAGCCAAGTGCTCCTGCAAATTCCTGGCTAACCAGAATGACCAGGGGGCAGCGCTGTGCATGTGCATGTGAGGTGGGGTGTGGGGGGGCGCTGGGGGGTATGAGTGGGCCTGGGGATGGGGAGGGG